CAGGGCGCGAGGCCGGGCGGGGGAGGAGCGCGGCCGCCACGGAGGAGGGAGGGGTGCGCGGGCCGGGGCGCCGCTCCCGGGGACCCTTGCAAGACGCCGCGGGGACCCTCCGAAGACGCCCCCAACAGTCCTGCAGCTGAGCGCTCCCAGGATGCTGAACTCGGGCGCCCGGCCCGCGACAGGCGCCGGCGGGCTTTACAGGTGCGGAGGCCGAGACAGAGACCACAGCGGGCGCGCAGCCCGGGCAGAGTCCGCGCTACTCGCGCCTCCTTTCCGTGCCCCCTGGCCCTTCTGACTGACACGAGGGGGACCCGTTCCCGTCCCCTCGCCTTGATCCCCCAGCCCCGGTCCCTGGCAAGGAATCCCCTCGAGACAGCGCGAGGAGTAAGGCTGGGTCTTCAGCGCAGATTCACCCCAGGGCGCGCGCCGGGTTCCAGCAGCTCCCGGCCACCTGGCTGGGGTCCCGGGCTGTCCCCAACCCTGCTGCTTTGGCGCGGCCGGGCCAGCAGCCTCCTGCGATTTGCCCCGCTCCCCGAGTGCGGCAGGATGAAAATAAGGCCGGCCTCGGCCTTCGAAGAGTGGGGCTGCTCCAGGCTTTGGGGAAGGGACAGTGGTGAGGCGACCCCCAGGTCCTTTCGCAAGCCCGAGGAAGAACCAGGGGAGGGGCTGGAACCTGGCTCTGGCGCAGGGATTGGCTCGGTCGTGTTTTCAGAGTTGAGTTGAGCTGGAGACTGTGGCTATGCCACAGCACCTTGCTTCTCCCTCCCTTAGTTTTTCGAGTTAATAGCAAATACTTCCTTGAGCCCATGAAGTGGCTTGCACCTGTAATCCTGGCTATGTGGGAAGCTGAGGCAGGAGAATCTCTTCAGCTCACGGGTTTGAGATCAACCTAGGCAACATAGTGAGTAAACTCTTCCTCAATAGCAGATTCATAATCTGCTTCCTCCAGGTGGTAGGGGTTAGTATGACACCCTCACTGTCCAGATGGGGACCCCAGGAGGGAGCACAAGGATTGGGTTGCCAATTAAACCCCAGCTGAGGTTTCTGTGGGATATCTGCTGAAGGAATGAAGGAATGAAACCACTCGCCTCTAGTTTCTGTAAGACAAAGAATTTCGGCGCCCTAGGGTCCTCCGCTCCCCTTTCCACCCCCTTAGCCAACGCCTGGGATCCGATTATGAGAGTGGAGGAGATGGAGGAGGAAGAGGAAGGATTTACATGCTAAGGAGGATCAAGTCCTGTCGCCTGAGTCAGGGCCTGGCAGGCTCATTTCAGGTATTAGGGGCTAAGGCAGAAGGAGAGCAGCTCCCCCCATGTCTCTTCTGTCCCCCTACAGGGCACACACTTCCCACCCAGCTGCAAGACCCTGTCCCCATTCCGAGACTTTCCGTGTCACATTTTAGAAGAAGAAAAAATAGATGAGCAAAGGAGTGAGCGAAACTGCTTTAAGCCCATCACCAGAGAGCCACAGTAAAGCAGCCCCGCTCTGCATCCTGTTTTGCAACTGTGTTTAGTTTGTGTTTTGCTGTCCATCCTTCAACCTTTCCTTCGCATTGTTTCAGACTTCGTGGCTGTACTTTCTGTAGCTTTCCCAGGGGATTTCTTGGCAATGGGGTGGGTGCAGAAACTGCTGTCCACATTAACACTTCTGCCCGCTCTGCCCTCCGGGTCACAGGGGCTCTGGCTGCCCCCTCCGTGTTACTGGACATTAACGAAGCTTGGCTGTGCCCCTCAGAACTGTGGTCTCTTCCTAGGTAGGGGGGCCCAACGCTCCAGCCTGACGCTCTCCCTAAACTTTGTCCCCTCCCTGGCCCCTTTCTCCCCACGGTCCTGACGGTGAGCCTTCTGTCAGATCCACCCCATGTTGATGCTGATCATGTCCTGTGAAGTGGCAGCCGTCTGTCCAGCGAAGGACCTGGACTCCACCCCACACGCAGCTTTTTTTCTTGCCATCTTGGTCTGCCTCTGTGGGTCTGTGCCACACCCTCAGTGCCCTCTCTCCATGAACATGTGGCTCTGGGGCAGTGGGGGCAGGAGAGACAATCTCAGACGCTGCCTGACTGGCCCCGAGCCCTGGGTCGGAGCATCCATGTAGCAGATACTGCCCCTCACAGCGTGCCCTGCCATGTGCTGGGGAAGGGGATATAGAGATGGCACAGCCCAGCTGGGGGGTGACTCCTTTGCCCCGGACTCTGGGGTCTCTGATCACAGCAAGGCTCCAGGGCACAGGCCCCTTGTCTCTTCTGCCAGCCCCCCTAAGCCTGTGTCACCAAAAATCATCCATTGATCCAGGCTTAAAATAACCCCTGGCATCTGCAGTGAGCCCCGAGGGGCGGGCAGAGGAGCTGAGTTTCTGCGCCTGAAGGGCACCCACCCCGCCCCCAGCTCCCAGCGCTGGCAGCTCGGGTGTGCGTGTGGATGTGAGTGAGAGGGCAGGTGGGAGCCAGCGTGGTCACACTTGTGCTGCGTGGATGTGCTCATGCACACACGGCCTTCCCTCACTGCCTGACCATGGAAGCCCGGGGATCTGAGAGGCCGTGGTCATTAGGGAAAACCCTGGGCATTAGGGCCCCCATTTTAGATGGTGTGTGCCTGGCTGCCAGCTCTGCCCCTCCTGGGAGAAAGGGCTTGGGATTTCCTTGAGAAACCCAAGACCCAGAGACGGGTAATGACCTGCTGGGACTGGCACATCGCCGGAGAGCCAGGGTCTGGCCCGGACTCTGCACTGTGAGCCCCAGACCTGCTCTCTGGCAGCCTCGTGCAGACAGAGCAGCTGGAGGCCCAGCATGCTGGGGAGGTGCTTCCTGCCCCTGACAGCAGGTCCCCAGTGGGGCTAATGCCCAATGCCCGGCTGGCTGGCATTCCTGCGCTCTTGGGCCAGTCTACCTTTCTGGGCCTCAGTTATCTCATCTGCAAGGTGGGCAGCCAGCACCTCATTGGCAGGGCTACAGGGACAGGACAGCGGGCCCCAGGCTGGGGAACACTGGGTACAGGCGGCCTCCTGGGACCCTCTCAGCAAAGCATGGTGACTGTGACAGCAGATGCCACTCCAAACTGGAAGGGCCTCGTGCCTGAGCCCACTTCCTTCCTTTCCTCCGCGGTGGAGGGTTAGCTGCTAGCAGAGATTCTGGGGAGGGGACGGTGGACTCCCTACTAGTGCAAATGCGCCACGAGGAGGGGCTCTGGAAGGAGGGCTCCCGGCTGCCTTTGTCTCCTGAGAGCTGCATGACTCAGCCTCCAGCTGCCCGTAGGAGGGAGGGGGAACCCGGGCTCCTGAGGTCGTGGGGTGTGGGGGTGCGGCCTTGGGGTGCTGGGAGCTGAGGCTTGGCCTCCCCTCGCCAACTCCGTGCACCCTGCCTCGGGAGTCTCAGGTAATCCCTCCGCCCTAATCCACCCCATCAGAGCCTCCACAGGCCCCAGGGAACGTGCCTCGACCACCGCGACGTGGCGCCGGAACAGACAGGACAGGACACACAGCGCGGCCCCCAGGCCAGGGGCGCCGTCTATTGGGCCCCAGTTCCGAAGATCAGAGCTGGGGTGGGCGTGGGGAGGCGTGCCGCGCCCCCTCCTCCCTACACCGCGCCCTGAAGTTGGTGCGTGTGCTACTGAAGTTGGGGCCATGGCCCGTATCCCGGGTGCCCTGGTTTGGGCTGCTGTCCGCAGGACGAGCGTGACAACCCGCACCGCTGGAGCCCAGAGGTCCGGATTTGGAGTAGGCATTTTAGCCCCGCCCTTCTTCGAGCCCCTCCCCTTTCCTCCAACCTAGGCCAGGGCCCCGCCCCTTACCCGCAGCCCCGCCCCGTGGCCACTCAGCCCCGCCCCGTGGCCCCGCCCCCGCCCCCTCCGCGCCGGAACCCAGCTGCTGGTGGTCAAGGTGGGGCTGACCGCAGGAGCCGCGCAGATCGACTTTCACCTGCCTCGAGGCGCTGCAGGGCCCCGGGTCCGCGCAGGGTCCCAGATTCTCTGCGGTTTGGGGAGGTGGAGACGCTCAGTGGCCCCCTCGGTGTGGGATCCTGCGGGTCCGTCACTCCCCACACCCCAGCTGCCGCACCCTGAGGAGTCCTGCCGGCCACGCGGGCATCTGTGTCCTCCCAGGTCCTCGCTGACTGTCCCGTGCCCCTCGGTGGTCGTCCTTGTGGAACTCCAGTCCCGCCTGCTCCCCAGGCCTGCTGGCGGCCGCCTTCGGCCCCGGGGCGGCCCATGTCCCCTTCAATCTCGAAAGAACCTCCTTATATAGAGGCGGAGCCAGGCCCAGGCCCAGGCTGGGGGGGCTCCCCGTTGAGAGGAGCGAGGGACAGGTCTCCCTGATCTCCCAGGTGGGCATTCCCAGCCCCACCCTGAGCTCCGGACCGTGGCTGCCAGGCAGGAAATGAAAGGGGCCTGCAGGAAACCCCAGGAGGAACCGAGACTTCGGCCGCCCCGCCCCCACCTGCCGGGCCCTGGGACCCTGGGGACCCTGGGGAAACCAGACCCCCCGGGAGAGGCTGAGCAGAAGCGGCCTCTGGCCTTGGGGGTGCTTCCCTCCGTGCCCACCTCCGCAAGCAGTCCTGCTGGAGTGTGTCTGGGTCCCTCTCACCGCAGAGTGAGGCCGCTGGGAGAAAAACCTTTCAGTAGCGATGAGAGCACGAGGGGAGCCCTGCCATCTGCCCCCGGAGCCACCACCCGAGGAGGGGCCCTGGGCCTGTGGCCTTCCGCTGGGACCGACCTGGCCAGCCCAGCCCCGGCTGCCCCCTGTGACCCGGGCCATCCTTCGCCTCTCCGGGCCTCTCGCCTCCAGCCTGCAGAGTGGAGCGCACCATCCCAGGCTGTGGACGCGAAATGGTCCCGATTTTCCACCAACGGCGCTGTTCTTGGTCAGGGCTGCAGGCAACTCCTCTTCCGAGAAGAGGCCTTAGCGGAGGTTTCCGAAGGAGGCGCTCTGGGCCGCGGGTCCAAGAGCAACGACCCAACCAACATAGCCAGATGCTCAGGCGGAAAACCTGACAAACGTGAAAACCTTATCGGGACTGTCGAAGACGAGGTGCTTACCGAGTGTGACGGGCAAGACGTGTTTAGTTTCCAATTTTTATTAGTACGCAGGACACAACGACGCCATTCCTGGGAGCTGGTACCTGGGCACAACACGCCATAGTTCTCTTTACGTCCTCTCCCCCATTCTTCCCGCAGATATTTAGGAGTGAAGTAATGATCACTATTAAGGAGAACAATACCCCACAGGCCCGGGAGGCTGGGCCTGCTGCACCTGCTAGGCGCAGGTTAGCTCTCCGTAGACTCCACCTGATTATCAGCCTGCACTTTCTGGCCCGTCTACAAAATGCATTGCTTTTTTTTAAAATTAAAAATAACCTTTTTAGTACTGGGGCTCGAGCCAGGGGCCTTTGTGAGCTACACCCTAGTCCTTTTCAATCTCTTCTGAGACAGGCTCTCACTGTTTCCCTGGCTGGGCTTGAGCTTGCAGTGCTCCTGCTTCAGCCTCTCAGAGCACTGGGATGACAGGTGTCCACCGCCATGCTTGGCTGAAAACTTTTCTTTTTAACCAAATGCAGTAATAACACGAAGAGTCCTTTGGAAGGGACAGGTAGGACAGGGGGGAGGCATCTCATTCCGTGGGCCCTTTTGAGGGGACACTGCGCCTGCTCCTTGTCCCTCTGTCTCTCTTGCTTCTTCACCAAAAACATCCCTCCTGCTATCTGCTAAGACAGTGGTGCCAAGTCCTCTCCCTCACTGGGCCTCGGTTTCCTCATCTGTGAAATGGGGATTTGTATGTGGGAATTCCCCAAGGTTCCTTCTCACTCTTCTCCTCTAGTGGCCACAGGCCAGGGACAGAAATTTATATCCAGCCCCTCGTTTCTCAGAAGAGCAGATTGCGATCAGAGGGGCCTGCGACCAGGAGGAGCCAGGGGTTCGGCTGGGACAGGAGGTGCCAGAAGTTTGCATGTCTAGGCCCGGGGTTTCACTCTTTCACCCAGAGCCTGGGCTGGGTGTGGTGGGAGGGAGGGGTGGCTAGGGACAGCTCGGATTCCCCCAACCCTGGGCTGGAAGTAGGGGGCTAACTGGGCCACACCGTCTCTCACTGCTCACCATCTGCCCCCACCTCGCTCACCTGGCTCCCTGGTGAGATGGGTTCAGGGAGGGACAGCCGAACAGAGACTTGGCTATGAGCGACCAGTCCTGGGACCCCAGGTGCCCCTGGCCAGGTGTCTGAGCTGGGCAGCAGAGGGGCAGGGGGCAGGCACCTGCCAGGCAGTTCAGGGGGGGCGGCTCAAGGCAGGGCAGGCAGAAAACCTCCGTGCCTGGAACCAAACTTGGCTAAGGACCCCGAGGGACAAATGGGACCAGGACCCCATCCTCTGCTCCCAGCCTGGTGACCCTCCCGGTAAGGCGCTCAGCTGTGACAAATTCGGAGAAGCTGCCCAGGGTGGGGCTCAGGTGCGCCCTGGGCAGGAAAGGCCACAGCTGGCAGCAGTGCCCAGCATGGCCTAGAACTGGAGAGAGGGGATCGATCGTGGTCCCAGGCCCCACACAAGAGCACCACTGTCAGAGGGCAAGTGGTAGGCATAGGAGGGCACAGGATGGCATAGGATGGTCAAGGAGCTCCGGCACAGACAGAAATGGAGGCAGGCAGAAAAGGGGGTCAATGGACCTCAGGTCCATCCGGTTCAAAGCCATAGGCCCCTACCCTGGCTCTGGTCAAAGAGCTTCCTATAGGTCTTGGGCCTTGTCCTGTGCATGGCTGAGGGACAGCAGGACCCCCAGGTAGTCTCAGGCTCACTCTCTTTTGAGACAGGGTCTTGCAATGTAGTCCAGGCTGGCCTCGAACTTGCAGCAATCCTCCTGCCTCAGCCTCCCAAGCCCTGGGATCATAGGCAAGCGCCCCCATGCCTGGCTTTTCCCAGGCAATCTCTGAGGGTGCTCCGTGTCCAGATGTCTCTTTAGCTTTAGTTTGGAGTCCAGTCTCAGAGCCTGCACAAGCTGTGGCCCTGAAAGTGGTTCACCAGCGTAGAAATGGCACCTTAATCCTGGCAGATACAGCTGAGCCCGGCGTTGCCCCGGGGATACAGATACCTGTCAGCACAACCCAGCATGGCCTTATTACTTTTATCCTGGTTATATACTCCTGGGGAGGGGGGCATTGAGGCAGGGTCTCATTATGTCACCCTAGCTGGCACTAAATGTGTGATCCTCCTGCCTCAGCCTCCCTAGTGCTGAGATTACAGGCATGTACCTCCATGGCCAGTTTTTCCTAGTTATTGCTACAAAATTATTAAGGGGCTGGAGGTGCAGCTCAGTGGTACAGCACTTGCCTAGCAGGCGTGAAGCTCTGGGTTTGATCCCCAGGACCACAAAAATAAAATTTAAAAAAAAAAAAAAAAAAAAAAAAAAAAAAAAAAAAAAACCCAACTAAAAATAATCTTGCACTAAATCCTAAAGTGAAACCATCAGCTGGTTACTCATTGCTGCTACTTGCATAAGTTTAAAAGCAAAACAGCTCTGACAGCAAGGATTAAAGAAATGTAACACCTAAGTACACATTAAGTGGCCTCCCACATGGTCTTCTTTTCAGATTCTTTGTAGCGCAATTGTGCCACCCCTCCTTACTGTAAATGAAAAATCTCTCACTCATAGTCACCTGTATTAGTCTCTATGTTTACTGTAACAAACTCTCTGGCAGTGGTTAACTTTATAAAGAAAAGACTTTTTTTTTTTGTCTTTTTGAGACAGGGTCTCATTACACAGTTCAGGCTGGCCTTGAGCTCACTTTGTAGCGGAGCCTGGCCTTGAACTTGCAACAATCCTCCTGCCTCAGCCTCCTGAGTGCTGGGATTACAGGCAGGTACCACCACGCCCAGTTAGGAAAGACCTCTTTCTCTCCATCTCTTTTTGCAGTGCTAGGGATCAAACCTAGTGGTGCTCTACCACAGAGCTCCATCCCATCCCTATTTATTTTTCTTTCCTTCTGTTTTTTTTTTTTTTTTTGTATAGCAGGAATCAAACTTGGGACCTTGTGCTTGCCAGGCAGGCACTTGTACCACTGAGCTATATCCCTGGCTTATTTATTTTTCATCCCATCCCTATTTATTTTTTATTTTGAGACAAGGTCTCATTAAGTTGCATAGGTAGGTCTAGAACTTGTGATCCTCCTGCCTCAGCCTCCCAAGTAGTTGGGATTACAGCCCTGGCTGCACTTTCTTTATTTAGCTCACGGTTGAAGAGGTTCAGGGTCCACCTCCAGGGATGACCTTGCTGGCCGAGTCTCAGGGTGGCATCATCTTTGGTCTCTCTCCTTGTAAAGCCACCTGTGTGCAGTCCTGGTCATTGCCCTGGTCACCGTGCGGAGACGCCACCTCTGAACACTGCAGTCAGGTCACGTTTTCACCCTTTTAATACAGCACAATGGGGACAAAACCTGGCCCGTGAAGCCTCGGGGTGCGTACTCAGCCGCGTCCAAACCAGAGCACAGCGGGCCACTGGAAAGCCCAGGGGCTCAGACGCAGTCTGTGAGGCCGTGCAGTCCTGAGCTGGAAGCTAACAGCAAGCTGCCTGGCCGGCTGCACACCATGGCCCGAGATGTCTGTGGCTGGGAGCAGCCCGGTTCCCAGCCAGAGGGCCGCTGGGCCTGGGGTGAGGCTCTGAATCGTTTCCAAGCCCCAGGTCGGAGGCCTGGAAGCAGGGCGAGGTCCTCTCCTGTTCCCTCCATGGCTACTGCTGCTCGGGGCCGGCTGTCTTGGTGGTGACCAACTGGGTGGGGCCCAGCTCGGTGGCGGGGACGGGGACGCTGTGGCTAGGCGGGGTGGTGGCTGGGTCCTCTCCAGGGGCAGGGCAGACGGGAGCTGAGGTGTCAGGGGTTCCCGAGGAGGGGATGTAGACGTTTTCCAGGGGTTCTAGCGTCAGGGGACAGAGAAGGTCAGGAGACCCAGGCTCCCCGGCTCCTTGTTCTAGAAGCTTCCTTCTGAGGGACTGCCCCGGGGATGGAGCTGGGAGGGGCGGCCCGGGACAGGTCCTCAGGACAGGAAGTGCTGAGTGCAGGGGCCTGGCCAGGGGGCTTGGGGCGCGGGGAGGGGGAAGAGGTGGGAAGCCCATCAGGGTACCCCACAGAGCCTCCTAGGGACCTGAGGCTCACCCTATTCCCCAAAGGCCAGGACCCCCTAAAGGCCAGCGCCCCCAGGCCAGTGCCTCCGGGTTCCCCTACATGAGACTCACCCTCCTGGTTCCTTTCTAGAGCCTCCAGGGTCCTGCGCTGCCGCCACTTCCAGCTCACCAGGGCCACCAGGACCAGGGCCAGGAGCAGCGCCAGGCCCAGCAACGTGGGGATCCCGAAGAGCAGCCCGGGCAGGGGCAGCATGGGCTGCGGGGCCCCGGGGCCCACCGACTCCTGTGGCTGCAGCGCCGTCCCAGGCGCCTGGCTGCTCGCCCCTGCTGCTGGCGGAGGGGACAGGGCGGGAGGCTGGTGGGCGGAGGGCAGAAATGACCGAGGGCCGCAGGAGGGACAGCGGGTGGTGTGGACAGGGCAGGGGAGAGGGGTGGTGAGACCACGTGGTGACCACTGGACCTCGGGGCCCCCGTCACCCCGGGGCCTGGCCAGGTCGGCATAATGGGGACCCCACGGCAGGACTTCCTTCCCGGGCCACCCTGCTGTGTGGCAGTGTCCCCCTTACCAGCTCTAGGCTCGGGCGTGCGGAGCAGCCTGCAGGCCACGCAGTGGCGGACCAGCTGGTCGAAGCACTCGGCCTGGACGCAGCGCGTGGGCCCCGGCCCGCTCACGCCCTTCAGGCTCCTGGCCCCCGGCCCCATGGTGCTGGGGTGCCACACGCACAGCTGGGCTCCAAGTCTCCTGGCCCAGGAGGAAGCCGGGCGCCCCGCCCTGCCACTGGGTGGGACCGCTGAGGTAGGACCTGTGCCACTGGGCCCTGCGCCCCAGGCCTTCTCTTTCACTTGTGGTTCCCCCATCCAACCACTCAACCGTCACCCCAGACGCCAGCTGGGCGGGCGCTCCATGGGGCACCAGGCTGCGCTGGGGGTCAGGCCAGAGCCTGATCTTGGGTCACACGGACTCAGTGTGGGCTCTGCTCTGCTAGGGTCGCTCGTGGCCCCGGAGCTCCCTCCACCCCCAGCCCCTCTGCCTCCTTCTCTGCCCTTCCCAGAGCTGGTCCAGAGCTGTCCAGAACATCAAACATCTCAACAATAACAACCCAAACAAACAAACAAAAACAAAAGCCAGGTGTGGTGGTGCACGCCTGTAATCACAGCACTGGCAAGGCTGAGGCAGGAGGATTGCCATGAGTTAGACGCCAACCTGCAGTACGTAGTGAGATCCCGTCTCAAAAACAAAAAACAACAAAAAATCTCCAAACTGGCTGTGGGCATACAATCCCAGCCACTCTGGGAGGCTGAGGTAGGAAGATTATTGCAAGTTTGAGCCCAGCTTGGGCAACAGTGATTTAGTAAGCCCCGTTTCAAAATAAAAAAATAAAAAAGGTCTGGGGATGTAGCTCAGTGAAAGGCCCTGGGTTTAACCCACCAAAACTGATGTCAACACGGCTGGGGATTTAGCTCAGCGGCACAGCACCTGCCTGGCAAGTGCAAGGTTGTGAGTTCGATTCCCAGTACTGGGAAAACAAAAAAAACTGATGTCAACACCATCACCACCACAACCACCACTGCAGCTCCTAAGTGACTGCTCAGTGTCCCCTGCACTGTGCTGGCCAGGGAGGGAGGGAGGCAGACAGTGCCCCCACCTGCCTCAGCCTCATCTCCTTGCAGCTAGGAGCAGCAACACTCCCCGTGGCCCCGCCCTCTTTCCCTGACCCCTCTAGCAGCAGTGAGAGCAAGCAGCCAGGAGCCCCTGTTTCCTGTGTAGGTCCCAGGGAGGAGCAGGCGGGCTTCCCGGAGGAGGCGGTGAAGCTGAGCTAGGTTGTGGGAGCATAGCAGGGGCCGGGGCCCAAACAGGGAGACCAGCAGAGCCGGGAGCATGATGCGCGCCTCAGGCAGACTCCAGCTAGGGACTCCGGGAGCCCTGTGGGGCTTGGGGCAGGGAGTGTCCCGCTAGGGTGTAAGATCCACCAAGAAGCAAGGAACCTATGCCGCTGCCAACTCGTCTCCAGGGCTGTGTGTGTGTCCCCGTACCCCCCATCTCTCGCACACTCTCCCTCAGTCTGAGGACATGTGCATCCCTTCCCCAGGGCAAGGCCTCAGCCCGGGGGACCATGCAGACCCCGAGCACTCAGGGCTGGGGACCCAGGCAGAGGGAGAAGTGACTGTTTAGGGGCTGGATGGGAGCTTGGGGACGAGGGACACCACAGTGGCTGCCCAGGATCGGGAAACAGGCCGCCAGGCTGGTGTGTCAATGGTGGGAGCCCCGGGGTGGGGGTGAGCACGCGGCTGCCCCCTGCTCGGCGGCACAGAGCGAATGGAGTCGGGAATCGGGACCGCTCCCGGGAGCCACAAGCCACAGGCGGACAGAACAGTGACAGGCCGGGTGCTGTGGCCCAGGCAGGGACAACGCGGCAGCTCCTCAGTGCAGGAGCGAGGCTGGCCCGCAGATTCTGCCCGAAGAGGCCGGGATTCCTGTGGACCCCCGGGGCCACGCGGTGGGCCGGGCACTGCCTCCCCACCGCTGCCCACGGCCCAGCGCTCAGCAGGAAGGTGTAGGCGGCTGCAAAGGAGAAGTGGGGGCAGGCGGAGGTGGGAGTGAGGGTGGGGGCGGGCGGGGAGCCAGGGCAGGGATGGCCCTTCTGGGACAGAGGACGGGGCTACAACCCGCACCCAGCTCTGTCACCGCTCCGCACTGCACTCCTTAGGGACAGAGCCCCACACGGCAGGTGTCCCATGCAGCCCGTGTGTCGGGCAGGGACTGAGCGGCTGGGGCTCAGGGAACCCAGGCATGGAGACCTGTCCCCAGGAGGGGTGGCACGGCGGGGCTGGCGCTGGTACCTCACGAGCTGCCCCGAGGTCGCCAGCCACATGGGGCCTCATCCCACGGCAGGATGACAGTGGCCAGCTGCGGGGCTGCTCAGCTGCCTCCAGCCCCTCAGGCCCCAGGCGACACGGGCGCTGTCTCAGTCCCTCACCTTACACAGGGAGGCCCGGATCTGTCGCCCGACTCACATTTACCGAGCACCTCCTATGTGCCTGCAGAGCCAGGGGCCAGGGGCCAAGCTGGGAGAGCAAAAGGCTGATGGGATTCCTCTGTCAGGTGCCTGACCCTGGCTGAACCTCTGCACTTCGGCCTCTAAGTGCGGGTGGGGCAGGCCTTGAATCCGCTTGGATGACGTAGTGGTTAAGAACATAAATTTTGCTAATGCAGGAAATGTTAGGTTACACCTCAACATATTCTTTTTCTTTTCTTTTTTTGTCTTTTTGAGACAGGGTCTCACTATGCAGTTCAGGCTGGCCTTGAGCTCACTTTGTAGCCCAGGCTGGTCTGGAATTCACAACAATCCTCCTGCCTCAGCCTCCTGAGCACTGGGATTACAGGCGTGCGCCACCACGCCCAGCGAACATATTCTTTTTCATAGCTCCCCTCCCCTCTCTTTGAGACAGGGTCTTGCTAGCTCAGGTCCAGGCTGGCCTAAGATGAGATCCTCCTCACTCAGCCTCCCAGGTTCTGGGATTACCAGCGTGTGCCACAGTGCCTGTCTTACATCAAGCTTATTAATTTTGTTTTCAGTACTAGGGATTGAACCCAGTCCCTCCATGCTAGTCAAGTGCTCTACCACTGAGCTACATCCCTAGCCCTTTTTAATTTGGGGACAGATGTGTGGTACTGCTGCAAGTTGATTACTTTTTTCACTGAAGTCTTGCACATAAACTATTATCTGCTTACTGTAAAGGACGGAACTCAGGCACAGGCAGGTGGAGGATGCATAGGGAGAGGTATGTGGGAGGGATGTGGAGTTTCTACACCCTCTCCAGGTGAGTGTGCCATCAGGGGCCACCCTCCCAAGCCCTCATGCGCCCACCAACCTGGAAGCTCTTCTGGGTCACTCTGACTCTGAGAGATGACCAAGGGGGAAAAGTTAGTTTCTGAAATCAGTGTAGCAATTTTTCCTTGTTTTGCTAAAGAACTGCTAAATGGAACTCCTGTGCTCAAGTGATTCCCCTGCCTCAGCCTCCAAAGGAGCTGAGACTGCAGGCAAGCACCACGCCCAGCCCTTTAGTTTTTACTTCAAATGCTGGTATGACCTCAGTGCATTCTTGAGTGTGAAACCCCTTCTATGCGAATCTGTCTTGTTCTTCACTTTTCATTCACTGAATACTTTTTTTAACAAGATGATTCAATTGGGGTCTGTCAGGGAGGATACTGCCTTTCATATTTGCCCCACAAAATTCCCCCAGGCTTGGGGGGAGGTGATGGGCTTTCCCAGGATGACCCAGCAGATACCAGGGGGTGTGGGCAGGGCCTGTGCCCTTCAGGTGTGGGGACAGGGCGGGGGAAGTGGGGCCACTCTGCACCTATGGGACAAGCCTAGGTTGGGGGTGTAGCCCCTGGGGGCAGAGGCCCAGCGCCCCCCCCCCCCACTGGATGTGAAACTGCGCGGAAGCCTGGGATGCGCTCCAAACTTCAAATTGAGCTTTAGTCATAATTAGGGCAGTAATGGCTGAGCGCGTTCTCACGAAAAGCCCAGAAGGCTCGGGTAGGAAGGGGTGGTGCCCTGTGGTCCCCAGGGAGCCTCTGTGGCAGCCGTTCCTCCCCTGGTTTAGGCCTTTATAATGTGGAGGAGGCGACAGAGCCGGCAACAGGGGTGGGCTTGGCGTTTTGGCACAGCGTCATCGCTGGGCACTCCTCGGGCCCTGCAGAGTGACACCCCAATCCTGCTGTGCAGACTCCCTCTGCCTGGCTTCTGCGCTGAGCTCTAACAAGGGCCTGCCTCCGTCCTCAGACTCGAGAGCAGCAGGCACGCGTGGCAGGGTGTGCATGCCCTCCTCCTGGTCCTCTGCAGGGCTCCCTGCTGGGCAGCCCCAGCATTCCGAACATGGCCCTGGGGAGGCCAAGAGCCCTTCCCCTTCCTGTGAGGCTGGCCAGGAGACCACGTCCCTGTGGGATGGGGTCACACCTCCTGGGGGCCACACAGCAGGTGTGCTGGCTGGAGGCGGCCAGGGACAGGTGGCAGGATGCAGGATGGAGTAGGAACCTCCCCGGGCCCTGCCCTCAGGCGGCACAAAGGGGACAAGGAGCCACTGGCTCTGGGCCTCCTGCAGGCTCTGGCCCTTGTGAATGCACAGCTGCCCCGTGGGCAGACACCTCTGATCCACCAAATGCTAAGTGAGCACCTACTACACACCAGGCGGTCAGGTTCTGGGCAGCAACAGGGAAGCAGAGGCAAAGCCCAAGCAAAAAGAATCTAGCAGGCAGGGGGTGAGATGTGCAGGGAGAGGGCGGCATTCAGAAAGGAAGGTGGCAGTAATTAGGAGTTATATTTAGACAGAGGAGCCAGAGAGGGCCCGGACAGAAGGCGACCCTGGAACAGAGGGACAGTGTGACTGATCCACTGCACAGCGACCAGAACAGGGCCCGCGCGGCCATTCCTCCCGCATGAGGAAGGGAAGCCAGGAGTCGGGTAGGGACAGGCCAGCCGGTCTCTGGGCCTGGAGTCCCCTACCTGTGGATCCGGTCTGGCTGTGGACAGGGCCGAAGTGGGGGCAGTCCAGTCCCAGGAACCTGTGCCCCTCAGAGAGCAGGGCCATTATGCCCCACAACACTGGCCCCTCCTGGGTGGCCTCTAGCATCTCCTTGTCCTGAGAGGTGGCCCCTCTGCAGATACAGGGTCCTGGACACGGCCACCCACTGTCCCTCCTGGAGCTGGTCCTCAGCAGCCCTCGGTGCCCGGGCCACACAGAGCTGAGCTGGGGGCACAGGGCTGGCAGCCGCTGCGCGCTCTCCACCTTTTCTGGCCGGGAGGGGGGGTGGTGGAGGGGAGGGGGCTGCCCCAGCTGGCGCCTTCCAGACAGGGTCGGGCGTGGGGCCCTGGAAGGCCCCGCCGCCCGTGTGCCGTCTCAGGGCCGCGCGGGGCTCACCGCACCGGAACCAGCCAGGCTACGTCTGCGGAGGGTGCACACAGGGTCAGGCTCTTTCCAGTCTCAGCCCCGCGGGAGCCCGAGAGGTGCAGCAGGTGGGGCTTGGGGGGAAGTGCCTGGCCCAGGTCACAGTGGGACTCCGGGGCCGGCTCCTTTCCCAGCACCACTTCCTCTGTGGCCAGGTGCTGGCCTCCGCCCCCGGGGCAGCAGATTCCCAGCGCTGCGCTGCAGGGCACCCTCCTCCCTGGGGCCTGGGCCTCCAAGGACAGGCGATGGCACCAGACCGGGCCCTCTCACAGACAGCGCGAGTTCCCTGGGTGGGCTCAGGGCCTTAAGAGGGACAAACCAACCTGTGGCCTCAAGCAAGGCCTGCCTGAGCACCGGACGTCTCACCCAGACCACACAGCTCCTGAAGGCAGGGACCCGGTGGCTTCCAGGCCCAGCAGAGGACGCATCTCCCAGGCCCTCAGGCTGCCGTGCACTCAGATCCGTGACCCAAGGTCCTTGCTCACCCTGAAAAACTGCCTCCAGGCTGGGCTTGGTAGTGCACGCCTGTAATCCCAGTACTGAGGAGGCTGAGGCAGGGGAATTACTATGAGTGTTAGGCCAGCCTGAACTACTGTCAAATAATCAAGAAAATAAAAACCTGCTTCCAATCAGCAAGACCCGTTCTATGCAAGAGAGCAGGTGACCCCCGAGGCCAGCCTCCCACTCCCTTCCACCAGAGCCCCAGGTGCGACTCCAGGCATGTACTACGCACAGGGACGAGTCCCCTTACCCTCCTCAGGCTCCTCCAGGACACTGCCCCGGGCCCGGGGGGCAGGAAGCAACCACTCTGTCCATCCATCCCTAGCCTTCGGGGGACAGCAGGTGTGAGGGCACCTGTCACCCACACGTTACTCGGCTCTGCCGTGAGGCGGCCTCGCAGTTCCTGACATGCCAAGCTCAGCAGGGAGCTGGCAGCGGCGACATGTTGAGTTCCCCCAGCATTTGGAAGGCTCCCAGGTCCTCACTGGAGAATGCCATGCCATTTCTCTTGTTAAATGGCGCCAGGTGGCACAGAAAATGTGGCACAGGCACCTGGGGCGAAAGGTGTGGCCCACGCTGGCTGGGGCAGGCGCTGGGCTGTGGGAAGGCCTCGTGTCTGCAGCACGGGTGACGTGTCCGGGAGAGGGAGCCAGCGGTGTCCACGCAGCGTCCTCCCCCGCCGTCCCCACAGGCCCGGCCCACCCCGCGGCCCGCACACACTGAGGAGGCCAGGGATGCTGCGTCCCCAGGCCCTGTAAGAAGGCCACCTTCTGGGCCTCCCTCCTGCCTTCAGGGATGCTGTTCCACCTGTGTCCCCAGCTCAGGCCTGCCCAGCAGGGACGCCACACTAGTCAACAGACGCGCACGGTCACCGGGCTGGCTCCACTGCACCTGGCCCCGTGACGGCAGCCACACCCCCGATGACAAGAGTCTCAGTTTCATGAACTGTGAAATGGAGACACTGGTGACCTCACAGGTCTGCGGGGGAAGCAGCGGCTGCTGTGAGAAGAGCTTGGCGAAGCGTGGCGTGCCTGCGAATGTCAGGTGACATGTGGGGCCCCGACCAGAATCCACACGGCTGAGGTCCTCGGCGGGGCCCAGGGGCTGCCTCACAGCTGGCCAGGTATGAACAAGGCCTCGCTGCACACAGGCGACAGGGGTGGCCGGAGCCAGGTGCCTCCTGGCCCTGGCAAGGGTTAGAAGCTGGCCCATCCTCCAGAGAAGAGCAGGAGCCCGTGCGCCAGTGACACTGGTGACACCAGAGCACAGGCTGCGCAGACAGGGTGTCCAGCAGGGCTGGCCTGGGGCTGAGGGCAGGCGAGGCGGGCAGGAAGCACCCGGCTCTCACGGGAGGCCCCTCCTGCCAGGCTGCCCCTCAGCCCCGAGCTCTGTGCGTCCCTGTGCTCCCTCTCCCTGGGGCAGGGGGGCTTTGGCTTCGATGACAGGGTTTCCTGGGCCCCGCCCCAGCACTTCCACAAACATCTGAGCAGAGGCAGAAGGCAGCAGTGGTCTCCGTGTGATCTCTCCCTGCAACCCAGGGCGTCCAGCCAGCTTCTGCGGCCTCACACACCCCACCGTGGCGGCGCGATTCCCGGCTCTAAGCTGAACTCTGCGAGATTTCATACAAGGCTTGTTCTCCAGGCACCTCCCACTCGTGCGCCGAGATCAACCATGCAGACACACGCCTGGGGGTACGCAGCCGCCACTTCACTCAACCCTTGCCATGCGCCTTGGGGGGCAGACCGTCTCTACTCATGCCTGGGGAAACTGAGGCTCCCAGGGGCAACAGCCAGGTTCCCAGGAAGAGCAGGGCCAGGCTGTGGGGTCCCACTCGGCTCACGGAATCCATAGCCCGCCCTCCCCAACTGTTCTGAGTCAGTTTCCTCGGCTGCCAAGTCAGAGTAGTGGATGAGACCAGTGATTTTCAGACCGTTTTTAGCCACTGGCTTTGTTCTCGTGAAATCTTAAGTGGCGACGGGTGTGTCACATGACGAGGACACAGGGCTGGCGGATGGGCGGGCTGGCCGGGCCTCCGTGCCCGCCTGCCCTCACCAGCAGCGGCGCGGGCCCTCACAGCTCCTCCGGCGGGGGGCTCTCGGAGCTCCGCAGCAGGGACAGCAGGTTCAGCGCCGAGACGCCAGGCACGTGGCCGGCACAGACCTGCAGCATGCGCACCAGGCGCTGCGCCAGACTGGCCCGGAAGGTGTCCACCTGCGGGAAAGGCGGGGAGGCCGTGAGCTGGCGGTGCCGGGGTCACACCTCACCGCACAGTGTCCCGCCCCGGGGCTTGGGGCAGCCGAGGGCTAGGGAGGGCGAGACAGACGCCAGCTCGCACCCTACCACTTCACCCACGGCCTCCTTGGCTCAACATCCAGTGGGGACTTCTCGGTCCACACTGCAGTGAGTCACCGAAATGTGACATGGCCGCTCACGCGCCTGTGAAATGCTCTCTGGCTCCCGCCACCCCACACCTGCGCCCTGCTCCGCCCAGCGCCCAAAGGCCTGGGTTCCAGGGCCTGACCTTCGGACCAACTCCCACGCTGGCTCCCTAGGTGACCCCATTCCCTTCTGTGGCTCTGAAGCCGCCCAACTGCTGACGTCGCACGTCACCGCCGCAGACCTCTCCTCTGAACACTGTGCAGCTGTGGCCCGGCTCCCCCTCCACTGTCGCTGGCCACCTCATTGCAGCACGTCACAGCAGAGGCCCGGCCCGGCCCGGCCCTGCAGTCCTGCGCCTTCCGGTTACCAGGCCAGAAACTGCAACCGTCCTTGACTCATCTTCTTGTCACATCTGGCCCTCGGCACATTCTGTCCCCTCCACCCAGGAAACAGCCAGTGCCGCGCGCCACCCCACGGCCCTCTTCCCCAGCCACCACTGGGCCCGGGCCGCTCTCGCTCCCCCAGGAAGAGCCCCCATCTCCGCCTGCCCCTCCCTGCGCCCCCTCCCCGCAGCGGCCAGTGGGGGTCCCCCTACGACCAAGCTAGCTTCTTCTGTCCCGGGCCCATGTTCCCCAGCAGCTCTAACTTTTCCTCTGATAAAAGCACAACCTTAACCATGACCCCCAGGTCCTCCCATCCCTCCGGCCTTTGCTGGCCGGGCCACAGATGCCCAGGCCTCCCTGCCATGCCCTGGTGACGCCGGCCAAGTTCTGGACCCAGCGGCTGTGTGTTTGCCATTGTTCCTGTGGGCGAGCGTGCTCTGCCACCACGGCCCGGCCTTGAGTTCCTTCAGGTCTGGCTCTCCTCTGAGTTGAGACCCCCAGGCCAGTCTCCACCCTGTCCCGTCACCTCCACCAGCTCTCCTTCACCCCTTCCCCGTCAGCGCTGGGGTTGCACACGTCGGAGGTGCTCTCCCGCTGAGCTATACCTCTTGCTATGGCCCGGGCTGGTCTTACGTCTCTGGGCTCGAATGTGCAGAAGGGACACCTGATCCTTCCACCTCAGCCTCCCAAGAAGCTGGGACTATAGGTGCGCGTCACTGCCCCTGCCACCATTCTCCCTGCTTTGTTCTGCGCTGTGCACCTAGTGCCTGGAATGGCTCACTGCGCAGGCGTGAGGAGGATTTGCTGAATGAATCCTCCTGGCCTAAATTCTATGGCCTTTGCCCCAAAGCCCACCTTCAAGCTGCTGCTGTAGCTGAGGCTCCACAGCTGCCTCCTGCCAGCCAGGCCTCCTCCCACCCACACATCGCCTTGAAACCAGGCCGCAAGCCCACGTCTGACCACGGCCACGACTTCACCCACGGCACACAGGAAGCAATGACTCAACTCCGCACCAGGATTCTGAGGCCCAGAAAACCCTCCCGCTGTTGTGCACATTCCGTGTCTGACTGTCACTTTGTCCCTAGCTTCTGAGCGGACAGGGCCAGTGTCAACGTCACCTGTGTTTCCCGCCAGCAGACCCTGCAATCACCCCCTGGGCTGGCCATTTCCGCCACAGGAAGGCGCGCTCTGGGCAGGACCGCACAGGTCCGTGGAGGGACGAGGGCCCACGCACGGCGGGCTCTCTCAAGGATGCAGGTCCACACCCAGCAGGTATTCCCGCAGCCCCTGCTGCTGGCTGGAGACAGGTCGGGCCTCTGCTTCCTACACAGGTCTTTTCTTGAGACCGTTCTCAGGTTACAAAGGACCCTGCCACGGTGTGGCCTGCCACCTCATGGCCACACACTCAACTGCACCGCTTGCGGCAAGGTCAGCAGGTGCATGGCCACCCACACATGGGCCTAAATCGTGGGGCAGAGACGATTCTTCAGTTAGAGAAAAGAAAACTAAGGCTTGAGGGGAAGGCTGGGGGAGGTGGCTGCTGTGGAGAGGCAGCTGGACAGCGGCTGGCTGGCCCTAACTTATAAGCTCTGACAGTCTCCTCAGGTTTGCTTTGAGCAAAGTCTGGCAGGGGCGGCACTTCAGGTGTGCTGGGACCTCAGGGTTCTGTTTGTAAGATCCACCAGGGTTTTCAAAAATAGCCACCCAATGTGAAAACAAACTGATGAAAACTGGGTGTAGTGGTGCAGGCCCATCATCTCAGCTCTCTGGGACGCTGAGGCAGGAAGATGGTAAGTCAAGACCAGCCTGGACAACTTAGCAACTTGGTGAGACCCCATATCAAAATAAAAAAGTAGCTGGAGATGTGGCTCTGCGTGAAAGCTCAGGGTTCAATCCCCAGTGCTGGAAAAACAAAACAAAACACCCAGACACATTGGTGATGGAGTAGTATGTGCACTTTTATCAGCGTCCTGGGCCAGGGGCGACTAGGGACAGATCTAACAACCAGAAAGCGGCCAAAGCAGTGATGAGCCCTGCTAACCCTAACGTAACCCACAAACACTGCCACTTCCACTGCTAACAGTCATGGACGTTGCTATTCCACACCGTTGTCTAGACCTGCAATGCTCAATTTCACTTAGAGGTTAGTAGGAAAAACAGTATTTTTTTTTTTCATCCAAATTCATGGGTCTTCTGAATGCTGCCCGCAGACCAGGCAGGAGTGAGGGGTGCTGGGCAGACTCAGTTCTCTCTGCGTCACACCACCTTGCTCTGGGAACAGGAGCCAGACCCAGAATACCGGACAGACGGGTCTTTAAAATGAACCTTGCAACTGGTAAACAGATCCCCAAGGAAAGTGAGCAGGCCTGGCACGTGGGTGGGCACGTCCCCCACACAGCTGGCGCCCGCGGAGGACCCTCAGGCTTCGAGCCCAGCCATCACCCGCCCAGCAAGCTCCCGACTGCCTGCTGGTGCCCTGCTCTGGGCCAGGACTGGACAAGCCCTACGGTCCAGGGAGGCCAGGGGACATCAGGCATCCTGACTGTCAAGGAGACAGGCGGACCCATGGTTAATGAAACACAAGGGGCAGCTGGTCTCAGCAAGGCACTGAGATACCAATCCGGGTCCCAAACGTGCACACAAGACTTCCCAAGACTCGGGCCAGCGAGCAGAAGAGCCCGGATCTGTGTCTCTCCCCACATCGGAGCCGCTCACCCGGGCATCCCTGCCGTGCCCTTTCCCCCGCCCGAGTGTCACCCGGCCACGGCGCTCAGCGTCCTCACCTCCAGGTCACAGAAGAGCAGGGGGCTCCGGTAGGTGTGGGCCAGCTTCCCGACTGTGTTCCGGTGCACGCTGCAGTGGCTGTCCCGCCCGGCTGCGAAGAGGCACGAGAGCTGCAGGCTGCGCCTAGGGGCCCTGGGCAAAGCAGTCGCCGCCCCCTCACGGTGGGCTTTCTTACTAGTCCTGTCTGCATCTTTTCCGGGCGGTCCAGACCATCAACTAGCAAATAAAGCTGAACAGGCTTACAGAGTGGTCTGTAAACACACAAGACTCATTGTGAAACGGAACAGGAAGGGCTCTGGCCGCACTTTTTATTCACCAGTGTCTACTGCGAAGAATGCAAGGGGTCCTCCCTTCAAGCTTACAGTTTAGCCCGAGAGGCAGACAGGTCCACGTGTCATGTCCCAGGGGCCAATGGGGACACGAGCTGAGTGTTGCGGTGTTCGTAGGGTTAGTGAGACAAAGGGAACGAAGCACTGGAGAGGAGCTGCTCGGGCTCTCCCTGGTTAGCCACAGGGCCTTGGGCAAATCTCTTAACCTCATGACCAGTTTCCTCAGTTATAAAACTGAGCTGCTACCTGCCCCAGAGGACAATAATATAAAAAGACAAAGAAACTACAAACTGAGTCTGGCACAGTGAGAGCTCAAGCAGGGCTGGTTGTCACCATTTCCGCCGCCAAAGCACAACAGACCAAGACCAAGCGCAATCGGGGTGACACTACACAACCGACGCAGAGGCCAGAGAGCAAAGCCTGTTGCAGAGAAGTTGGCATTTGACTCTGAAAGCTGCAGGCCCGAGGAGCAGCGGTTACAGCTCACACCGGCAAGCCCAGGTCCTGTGTCACCCAGGCCGCAGCGCTCCCTCGGGGGCAGCAGATGAGGAGGGGCACACTTACCACCCGTGGCCAGGAAGCACACCTTGCCCAGGAAGAAGCTGGCGTCCACGTGGCGCAGGGACTCCTCCACGTTCTGCAGGCTGCGGGCCGTGCGAGAAAACAAACCAGAGGACAGAACCTCACAACAGAGACAGAAGCCCCTGCTGCCCGATCCCAGAGGGCAGAGAATAAGAGGGTCACAGAAACACCCCAGGAGGAATGCTGTCCTTTAATCAAAAGAAAATAAAAAAACCAAACTATTTTCAATCACAAAGTGACTCATGCTTGTAAAATAATCAAATAGTAAATATAGGGGCAAACATAGAAAGTAATCATCCCCTCTCCCCGCGCCACTCCTCACGCCCAACTCCCCAGAGGAAACAGTCTGGGCTGTGGCTCCTAGAACTTCTTGCGTATGCAAAGATAGCGGGTTGTGTTAGCATCTACCTTTTGGGTACCACAAGAACCCGGTCAAACTCCTCAGCTTGGGCCAGGGATATAGCTCAGCGGCACAAGTGCCTGCCCGGCAAGTGCAAGGTCCTGAGTTCAATTCCCGGTACCAAAAAACAAAACAAAACAAAAACGCCGGGCCTGGTGGCGCATGCCTGTAATCCCAGCACTTGGGAGGCTGAGGCAGGGTGACTGTTGTGAGGTCAAGACCAGCCTGGGCTACAAAGTGAGCTCAAGGCCAACCTGAACTACAAAGCAAGATCCTGTCTCAAAAAGACAAAAACAAACAAACTCCTTAGCATTGCAGAAATTTGGAGGGGGTTTCACAGTGTTCCCCAGGGCTGGGTGTATTAAAATTTAACTCCCAGGATGCAGTCGGTATTAAGAAGGTGGAGAGGTTACTGGTTTAAGGGCGGGGCTTTGGGGGTGTTTAGGAGGAGACAAGCTCCTCTTTGAGTCCTGGGGCTTCCACAGGGAGAAGAGACACACACAGTGCTCTTCCTCTCACCATGGCCTGCACACTGTCAGCAAGACGGCCATTACCAAATGCAGCCCCTTGACCTGCTACCTCCACAACTGTGAGGCAACCCCCTTTTCTTTTTTGCAGTACTGAGGATTGAACCCTGGGCCATAGTGCTGAGCTACATCAACAGGTCTTTAAAAAAAAAAGAAATCTTAAAATTTGAGACAAGGTCTTGCTAAGTTCTTAAGTTGTCCAGGGTTGGCTTGAATTTGAGCTCCTCCTGCCTTAGCCTCCCAGAGTGCTGATACTGCTGGCACATACCACCTCTCTTCTCTATAAAGTAGCCTGCCTCTGATATTTCATTACAGTAATGCAAAACTAACTAGTATAAGTACACAGAAATCTGTCACAACCTTCAGAATGAATATACAACTACTATAATTTATTTTCCCAGTGATGAGTATTTAAGTGGCCTTCAATTTTTCACTATTACAAGGCAATCACCACAGATCTCAGCTCTTTCTCTTCTTCCCACTCTAACTAGTTAACTAGTGGGAGTGCTGAGGTCTAGAGCCAATCCTGATGCCACATGCATCTGCTGTCTCCATGCTCCATGGTTCCTGGTGTCTCCCTCATAGTCATCCCTCAGCCCCCAAGCCATCTGCAATGGTCTCCACCGGCCCTGAGCCCTGCCTAACCTGACTCAGCGGCCCTGGAGGGACTCATGCCTGTCCTCACCTGTCTAAGTCCTTTTCTTTAGGGGCTCCACTCTGCTGTCGCCTTACTTGAAGTCTGCCCTGACCTCCTACCCCTAAGACCTGAATGTCACAGGTCCTGGGCTCCCGCTGTCCAACACTGCCTTCCTTCACAGTCCGCACCCAGGGACTCCGCCTGTCCACCCCAAGTCCAGCTTCCCTGGTGGATGTGGACACCTTGAGGACAGGGGTCTGTTTTGCTCATTTCTGTGACTGCTATATGGTGTAAGAGTCAGTCTCTGAGAGTGTTAAACTGAGTCTGGAGTGCACACCTGTAATCCCAGCACCCTGGGGGCTGAGAGAGGAGTGTGAGCTGGAGCCCAGCCTGGGCAACTTCTTGAGACCCTGGCTCAAAATAAAGAAGGAAAGAGCTGGGGATGTAGCTTAGTGCAAGGGTCCCAGGTTCAGTCCCCAGTACCACAGGCAGAGAAAGCAGTGGGGGGAGAGAGAGAGAGAGAGATTCTTAATTAAATGAACAGATGACACTGCTGAGATCTGTTGGTGTCTTTTAAACGTCCACATTGGCCACTGGCTCCTCCCTCTTCACCCTTGAGGTCCACTGCAGGGAGCCTCTCACGGCCTTCCCTTCCTCCCCTCACAAGGGAGGCCCGTCCCAGCACTCTCCCAAGCCGGCCCTCACCTGTACTTGCTGTGAAGGTTAATCACAAACACGACCAGGTCAATGCGGGGTCGAGTCACACTAGAGGGCAGAGGGAGGGACTTCGCCAAGTGGCTGAAAAACAAGCAAGTGCAGGTCTAAAGCTACAGGCCCACTCACAGTGACCTTCACATGCCACCCTCCACAGGAGAAGACACTGCCATGAATGCTAGGCAAGGGCCGGCCACTGAGCTACACCGTCAGCACAGAAGGCTTTCCTTACCGCCTCTACTTCTGCCCATATCCCCAAGTTCCTAGTAGGGTACCCACCTCCACCTTTCCCAGGCTATAATTAATATCAAAAAGTGCAATAACTATAAAGGATTCAAAAACGCACAACCCCCAAAAGTCTAGACACCTAGAAATTACTATTAGCATTAGATATTTTTCTAAATACTTTTCTAAACACTTCTTCACGTACATAATGTACACACACTCAGATAATAACTATAGGATAACAGCATGACTTTAATTTGAATGGAACAGAAGCAAAATAAGGTAGAACTGAAAAAAGTGGATGAACTGTGGATAAACTTTTATTTTATTCTTTTCTTCCTTTTGGCAGTACTGAGGATTAAATCCAGAGCCTTACATATGCTAGGCAAGCAACTGCTCTGCCACTGAGCTATAACCCCAACCCTTTTTATTTTTATTTTGAGAAAGGTTCTTGCTATGTAGTCCAGGCTGCCTTGAACTTGTGGCGATCCTCCTGCCTCAGCTTCCCAAGTGATTACAGGTGTGTGCCACCACAGCCGGTTGTCATCATTACTATTACATCCACTCATGTTTTGCTCTGACTATAACTCTGAGCTCAGCCTGAGGAAGCTGCCACTGTGGCTGGGGGTGGGGGAGGCCCTGGGGAGTTCTTGTTAGCAGCTGTGAAGAGATAACTATTCTTACTCAAAACTACATCTTGTTTTTGCTTCAGGAATGCAGGCAGTTTGATTTTCTTGTTGTTTGTGGGTACTAGGAATTGAATCTTGGGCCTTTGCACTGAGCTACATTCCTGGCTCTTGCATTGAACTTTTACTATTCTGAGACATCGTAAATAACATTCTCTCCATTCAAAAGCTTTCTTGAAGCTGGATGTGGTAGCACAGGCTTGTAACCCCAGCACTCTGACAGGCTGAGGGAGGAGGATCACATGCTCAAGGCTAGCCTGGGAAATTCAGTGAGGCTGTGCCTCAAAATAATAGGGCTGGGGATATAGCTCAGTGCAAAGGCCCTGGGTTCAATCCCCGGTATCGGGTGGGGTGGGGCATTCTTGAATCATTTATATATTTATTGTGACTCAGCCTGGCTATTTAGTCCAGGCTTGCATCAAACTCAGATCCTCCTGCCTCAGCCTTCCGAGTGCTGGGATGACAGGCGTGCACCACCGCTCCCCCCTTGAATCCTACTTCGACAACAATCGACCGATCATCTGCACTGTTCCTCACGCCAGGCCTCGGATACTTACACCCGCAGCTCGGACGCGCAGTCCTCCTTGAGCATCGAGTCCGCCAGCTGCTGCAGGAGCGCATCCTCCGCGCCCACCAGCTGCGGGGCAGAGGAGGCATCAGCTGGAGACCTGGACGGCGCGGTGCCCTTGAGGGCCTAACTGGGGGGGAGGGATCCAGAGGAGGCCCCCGCGAGCACCCTCTCCAGGCGTGTGGGCGCCGCACTCACTCCCCACCCCCGACCTACCCCGGGCAGCCCGGCCCCCGCGGGGAAGGCAACCTGCAGAGGATGGAGCGCGGGACGCGAGAAAACCACCTCGGCCCGCGGGCACCCCGAGCGCCTCCCCGCCTCCACCAATCAGAAGCCGGGAAATCTTCTGCCGCGCAGCTAGGGGTGAGTGCGGCCAGCACCCTCCAAGAGTGGCAGCTTTGATTGGCTCAGAACATAGTTCTCCCGCCCGCCCCACTCTGCCGGAATAGCGCGCGCCGTCCCTTAGCGAGCGCAGACCCCAGGGCGGCTGACGCACAACTAAGGAAGAAAGGCAGACCGGGGTCGCCGGGCCGCAGGCACCTACCAAGATGGTGGCTATATTCAGGCCGGGCAGCTTGTCTAGTGGCCTCAACACGGACATTGTCAGGGATGGCCGAACCGCTTCTCTCCAGGTGCGCGCCAACCTTTCGAACCTCCGGAGCCCCGTTCCGAGTGGTTGCGAGGGCCACGTGACCCTCTTCTGGGCGGGGCTTTTGGGCGGGGGCGGGACCTTCTTAAAGGAACCTCTACCTCCTATTCAAGGGGCGGCCTGGCACTGGCCCAGACTGCATAGGTGCTGGAGGTATTTTTGTACCACGCTTCAGGGAAAGGTTTATTCCTTTCCTTGCATTCACTTATCTCCTTCACAGTAGTCTTTTTTTTTTTTTTGTCTTTTTGAGACAGGGTCTTGCTATGCCGTTCAGCCTGGCCTTGAGCTCACTTTGTGTAGCCCAGGCTGGTCTCAAACTTGCAATGATCCTCCTGCCTCAGCCTCCCGAGTGCTGGGATTACAGGCGTGTGCCACCACGTCCGGCGTTTTGGTTGTCTTGATTCCTTCCAAACCTGCTCCTTGGGACTGGGAATTTAGCTCAGCGGCAAAAGCGCCTGCCTGGCAAGTGCAAGGTCGTGAGTTCGGTTCCCGGTACCGGAGAAAAACAAAACAAAACAAAAAAAACCCAAAAAACCAAACCTGCTCCTTTGTCTTCTCCATCTCAGATGACTCTGTCCTTGTAGTTGTGTGCGGAGGGAAGCTTGCGTGGTTCTTGACTGCTCTTTACACTCCCTATCCAATCTGTGAACAACTCCTTCCGGTTCTAGGGATTGAATTCGGGACGCTGTACTACTGAGCCACACCCCCAACCCTTTTTATTTCTACTTTGAGACACAATCTCACTAATAAGTCGCTCAGGCTGGCCTCGAACTTGTAGTAACCCTGCCTCGGCCTCCGGAATACATGGGATAATGGCTGTGTGCCGCTTCGCCCGGCTCAGTTCCAACATTACATCCAGGAACTGGCCACTTCCTGCCACTTCCACTGCCATGCACAGCCAGGACTAAACTCCTGCCTCTGTCGCCTGGCCCGTTGTAACACCTTGTCACTGACCTTCTGTTGTCATGCAGATCTGCAGGGCTGGCAGCTATTCCTCACACAGGAATCAGAATCTTTTAATATCTATGCATTTATTTATTGAGACAGGGTCTCTCTATATAGCCCAGACTGGCCTTGAAGTCTCAGCAATCCTCCTGCCTCAGCCTCTGTAGTGCTGGGATTACAGGTGTACACCACCAGGCCTGGCTAGAATCCTTTTAAAATGGAGATTAGTGCAGACCTCTTCTCCGATCAAACCCACTGTGACCCCCTTCTCAGTTAGTGTACTGACAGAGGCACAGCATAACCCTGTGTGTCACTAGGCTGTTCCCTATTTAAAACAGTAAGTTCCCCCATACACACTTCCCCCTTTTTTCCTTTTTCTTTTTTGCTATGCAGGGATTGAGCTCAGGGCCTCTTGCATGTTAGGCAAGTACACTACCGCCGAGCTATGCCTGTACCCCTCGGCCCCCTCCGCTGTTTCTGCTCTGTTTTCTCCTTTGCACTAATCTTCATGAGTCATCTTCAAGAGACAAAGGACGTTTATTAATTTATAAAAGTAGCAGCAGTAACTTCATCTTGCGTTACTTCTCCAAGTCTCCCAAGTCTCCCAAGCTCCGCTGGGGACACCTGTGTAGCTAGTGGGTGTCCAGCATTATAGTGAGCGGTAAGCATGCCTGTTCTTTGGCCAGGGTTTGGGACATCATCTCATCCCTGAAGGTCCTTTTCTGCAAACACAAGCCTGAGCAACAGCTTGGGTGAAGAGCTGTCAGGAGCTTGCTTCTGAAGCCTGTCTAGCAAGAGACAGGCAGAGCTGCTCAGGGACCACAGCACGCTGCTTCTCCCGACAGTAGAATTCAGTGCCATCTCTCAACTAGAGTATAAGGTACCTGAGGGCAGCATCTTGGCCAGTCTGTACGTCCAGCACTCGAAAAAGTGCCTGGCACCTATGTTGCTCACTAAGTATGTGTTCAATGCATGGCTTGATTTATATCCGTTCTTAGCAGTCATTCCTTGTTCAGTTCCAGACCCAGCGGCCCACGCTGGAAGCACAGATGAACTGGGAATCACTGATCAACCCCGTGGGGGGGCAGGCGCCCTGGCAATAGTACACTCACTGTTGTGATGAATGGGAGCGCGGAGGCATGCTTCCTGTCCACCCTAAATCCTTCCGACTGCAGGCTGAATCAACTGTCTTGCTCAGAAAGAGCAGGAAGTGAAGGGCTTCATGGAGCCCCTGCCCCAGCACAGATGGGGCTGTGATTCCTCATGGCACGGGGTGCGGAGAGGACTCCCTAGAAGTGAGGGAGCAGTCCGAGTACCATGGAGAGCAAGGGGGGACAGGATGGGGCCTGCTGCGTGGGTGGGAGCTGCTTCCGGTCAGGGGCCTCTCGAAGAAGTGATGTTTGAGCAGACGCCTGAGTCCATGGTGGAGCAGAGGCTTCAGGTGGAAGGAAGCACAGGTGCAGAGACCTGGCCGGGGCACTTCTGAGCCCCAGCAGGGAGGCAGAGGGTGAAGGAGAGAGGGGGCTGGAGAGGAGGTCGAGGGCCAGACGACTGGCTGGTGGCCTTAGAGAGTCACAGGCCATGGAAGGGCTCTGGACCCTGTCAAGACTCTCTGGGAGGGGCAGAGCTGAGCCTTGGTCAGTCAATAGGCGCTGAGTGTCTGTCTTGGGCCAGGCATGGTGCTGAGCACAGGGAGCCGGACTCCAGGAGTCCGGACTCCTGCTCCAGGAGGACAACACCGTGAGTGAGGCCACTGGGAGCAGCCAGGAGCGAAAGTGAGGATGCGCAGATAACAGCGCAGGGGGTGTCCCACGGGGCGCACGCTACGCTCACTGGCTGGGATGTCAGAGGTGCCTCAGTGCTGTGGAATAGAAGATATCCGTGTGTAGGCTCCATGCTGCTGTGTGGACCTGGCCTGAGGGTCTTGCGTCAGGCACCCAGGGGTGATGGGGTGGTTGGAGACCTCTGGGCCAGCATTTCCTTTTTTTTTTTTGTATTGGGAATTGAACTCAAGACCTTGTGCTTGCCAGGCAGGGGCCAGCATTTTAACATTGCCTTCTGTGAGACCCTGGAGAGAGGTGTTGGGGCGCGGCGGGGGATGGGGTAACTGAGTGGGCGGGGTCCAGAAATACCCTCCTTAACAGGAAGAACCCTGGCTTTACCTCCAGTACACATTGAGCGCCCCGTGAAGCTTTTGCATGAATGAAGAACTAGTGACCAAAATAATACCTATAGGCCACTGATGATTGTTTGACAGATTTATCAAGGTATGACTGATATATTAGAAATATGTATTATCTGGATGCAGATGCAGTCTCAGGTACTTAGGAGGCTGAGGCACTCTTGAGCCCAGGAGTTTGAAGCCAGCCCGGGCAACATAACAAGGCCCCATTAAAAACAAACAAACCACTCTACACACGTCTAAGGTGTACAGTTTGAGGTTTTGACCTAGAAGGTGCCATCACAATCAAGGTGCTCGACGTATTCATCACACTTCAATGCCTCCCTCAGTAACCCCTCCTTTCTCCTCCCTGCCTTCCCACCCCAAACTGTTAAGAAGCATGTTGACAGCTTTGCTCATGGTGGCCCCACCCTGGAAACAACCAGAGGTTCTTCAGATAAATTGCAGTGGAATAAGCTATGCGACAGTGTGGGTGACTCGAAGACCCATTATGCTGAGCGACTCAAGCCAGACGCGCACACAAGAGAGGCTCCATTTAGAGCAAACCCAAATACAAAACCAGTCCGAGGCGACAGGAGTCAGAGCAGGGGGTGCCTTTGGGGGAGGGAGCTGTGGGTTTTTGTTTTTGTTTTGTTTGCCGGGGCTGGGGATGGAACCAGGGCCTCTCACAGGCTCAGCACATGCCCTGCCACGGGTCTCTTTGCCCCTAACACCAAGGGCGAAAGTATGGACTGCCGAGGGGCAGGAGGGGCCTCTCCGGGGTGATGGAAGTACCCGGTACCTTAGTCCGGATGGTGGCACAGCTGTGTATATAGGCAAAAATGGACCACTGAAGATTCGTATATTTCACTGTGAATTTAAAAACATCTCTCGGTGACCTCAAAGTCACAGAGGGTCTGTGGGCTGGGGGACCGAGGGTCCTCAAGCCACTTCACCCACAGCCGGACACCTACTGTCATGAGGTTTCTGGGACTGGACTCTGGGGACTCGGTTCCTGGAGGCCACTTCCCGCCCCATGGGCCCCTGGAGCTGCCCTCTCCTGAGCCCATAGCCCCCGCTGTTGATGGAACGCCCCTGAGTGCCTGGCGCCCAGCAGACACTGGGGCTGTGGCCAGGGCAGGGTCCAGGCCTGGGGGTGGATCCCCCACTCCCAGCTCCACCCCTGCCACTGACTCCCAGCTTAGTCGGGGGAGCGGAGGGACCTGGAAGGAGAAGGCAAACAGCTTCACCCCTCGGAGCCTCAGCTGCCTCCCCGCAACCGGGCCCCCAATACTCGTGGTGGGGAGGCTGAGTGAAGTGCTGTGTGGCTCTGCCTTGGTGTGGGGGTGCTCAGTGCCTGGAAGCTATGAGCCCTGCATACTGAACCCCAATCTGAGGCGCTGCGGGGCTCCGGCTGCAGATTGGAGAGGGGAAGCCCCTTGCAGGGGCTCCAACCCTGGCATCACGAGGTGACCTCGGATGAATTAATAGAAATAAAGCCCTGAAAACAGTGTGTGGCACATGGCTCAATGCTCCACTGGGCCAGACACAGTCTCAGGCCTGGGTCGCCCCTCTGTGACGTGGAACTCTCGTTAGGTCTCCTGTTTACTGCTCCTGTGTCTCCACGCCCTTGCTGTACCCCAGCCTGTCCCTGTACCCCATCAGCCAGCCGCCAACCCTTCCCAGTTATCTGCTGGGGTCCTCTCCTCTCCTCTCCCCAGCAGCGTTGGGGCCTAGCAGTCTGCTGAGCACCTCTAGTCCCTCCCCACAGTTCCCCAAATCTGCCCTCCTTGTCATCTGCTGTACCACGTGCACAATAGAGGGATCCAGAAAAGGAGGTTGGTTGCCAGGGCAACGGAGGATAAAGCCCTTGCTGTTCTAGGCTGCTGATTGGCTGAGAAAGGCCCTGCCTTCTGCCATCCTGAGAGT